ATTTGATATTCCTGTTTCTAGGCAAGTAAAATTCTCTGCCATCCTTATTGAAAGATTTTTAAAAGACCACATTTCATTGGTCGGTGAATTCTGATTTCACTGCATTTTTTTTTGTTTAGGTGATAGTGGGAGATATTTGGCATTTAAAGGTTGAGGATGCTTAGCATTTCACAGGAAGTATCAAATATCTTTCAGGATGGGTGTGTCTAGACTACATGCCTCCTTCCATGGAGGCATGTAGATTAGACAGGCAAAGGGAATGAAGCTGCGATTTAAATAATCGCGGCTTCATTTAAATTTACATGGCTGCCCCGCTGAGCCGACAAACAGCTGATCAGCTGTTTGTCGGCTCAGCGGGGCAGCCATGTAAATTTAAATGAAGCCGCGATTATTTAAATCGCAGCTTCATTCCCTTTGCCTGTCTAATCTACATGCCTCCATGGAAGGAGGCATGTAGTCTAGACACACCCATCCTGAAAGATATTTGATACTTCCTGTGAAATGCTAAGCATCCTCAACCTTTAAATGCCAAATATCTCCCACTATCACCTAAACAAAAAAAAATGCAGTGTTTCCCTTTGCCAAATAAACAAATCTACATGGCTCCGTCGACGGAGCCATGTAGTTTAGACATACCCGATGAGTCGAAAAGAAATGGATGAAAAGCACAACTTAGACAAAGCCCTACATTCCTGCAAATTCTAATATTTTTAGAGTTTGTTAAGCCATCATTTAGTTAAAGCAGGTTTTAGAGAACTTGTAAACCCTCCAAAAATCCTTTCCCATATTCTGTGCAGAGTGAATACTGTTTAAGCCAATAAAAAAAGCCCAAGACTCTGAGCTAAAGATGTATATATAAAATATCATTCCTCTGTGAATTAATGTAGAAAAAGAATAGAAAAAGTCCCATCCCTTCAATAATACCCTGCTAGAGGGAACGCTACTTCTAAGGACAAGGCTGAAGATTAGATCATTTAACAGCTGGATTGTCTGAATTGTTTTCCCAGAAAGATTGAAACAGTGCAGGGCAGGAGGGCATGAAATTAAATTAAAAAGGTGCAGGCATTTAAGGGATCTAGCAGTACACAGAGTAGTTCGCATATGGATTATGCTGCATAGGACAGCAGTAGGCCCAGTTCAGATCGGTGGTTCTCCAGATTTTTCTGGAAACCTTATTGTAAGAGAGAATCTCTCTCTTGTGGTTCAGTTCCCCACCCAGATGCCCTCTGCTTGGGTGCCAAGTAAGTATCTGCTGATGATTGTGGCCCATAATTAGTGGACTCCTGAGTCAAGTAAATAAGATGAAGTTGGAAAGATCTTCACCTGCCTATTTCAGGAAGGAGTGGGGCTGGAGGAGTACTGGGTGTATGAGAGCTGTGCTTCCTGATAGCTATCTCTTCACTGGAAACTGGGTGTGGAAGAAGTCTCAGTTGTGGAGCTCATAGTCTGTGGCAGCCCCCTGGAACTAGAATTCATTGGCTGTCAGCATTGTGCATCCATGTGGGTGACTATGTAGACCCAGTGGTTTTCAACTTCTTTTTTTTCTCCACAGACCACTTGAAAATTGCTGAAGGTCTTGGTGGCCCGCTTGATGATTTTTCTAAATGTTTATACTGTTAGCTAAGCATTGTAAAGCGCTTGGATAAAGGCATTATATAAAAAACTTAATTATATTTGCTTAATTTTATTGCTTAAAAGCACACAACTCATATTTTAATATCTGTAGTCTCTCCTGTGACGGCAGGACTGAGCTGGACTGGGTGGAGGTGAGAGGGAGTGTCTCTTCCCAGCAGTTGCATCTCTAGAACAGGAGACCGTAGACTCTTTCTTCAGCCTCCACGGCCCTTTACATCCCAAATTCTCCCCACCCAATCTTCTCATCCCATTGCCTCCTCCACCTATCTCCTATTTCCCCCACTGCCTCCTCCCACCTACCCTCTATTTTCCCCCAAGGCCACCACCTCACCTTACATGTGCATCTTCTCCAGGGTCCAGGCACCTTATCAGTGGTTGTCACACCTGGGGGGCTCCACTAAGTAGCTGGCTGCCCTTCATTCTCTTGTGGGTGGCTGCCCAGGTGTGCATCTTAGAGGGTACTATCCACGGACTACAGTTTGAGAACCTCTTGTGTAGATCATTGCTGAGGGGCTTGTTGTGGTTGGTTGGGATTGTGTATGCGTGTATTGGAGGGAATATGTAACAATTTAATGTGCAGCACTTCATTGCTGTCATACAGACTAGAGTATTGACTGAAAAAAAAAAAGAAGAAAACCAACCACCGCCTAACTCTAGAAGCAATGTGTCATATTACCACATTTCACACCAGCTAGTTGGCATTATTGTAGGTAGTTTGCCTTTCACTCGATACTAGAAGGCCTGTTTTAACCTTCCTGGAAGATCATGCAGTTTCTTCCCAGTGTGATTCTTTGCCTTTCGTGCACAAATAAGTATCTGGTAAGGTAGCAAAAGAACAATTGTTAATTAGAATATAGAGGTCAGATTCTTAGCTAGTGTAAATTGTCAGTTCCAGCGGCTTGAGGTCACCCTTTACCAAGGAGAAGTTATTCTGCTTAAAACTAACTTCCAAGTAGAAAAACCCCCTTGAAGTAGCGAAGTTTGTTACTGTTCCACTGAGGTTGTGTTTAGCTTGGGCAAAATGTTGGCATCAAATTCTAGACAGGAAATTGTACATATTAAATTCTGTTGCAAATATGAGTTTTCTCTTAGGTGTAAGCAGTGTTGGAAGTGTTGAAGATTCTATGCATGGTACTTCGCATGCTACATAGCTAGATCTAGTCTCTTCATTTAATAAAGCCAGAGCAAAACGAAGCTGCTTGCTATAAAGGGTGAGATATTTCTGTCTGTTATTCTCCACCTTCCAAGATTTTCTTAATTTGATTCCACGTCATAGTCACTTAAAGATTTCTAAGGCTGTGGTTTCACAGGAACAAATGCCTTGATGCCAGGTCATAAAGATTATCTGAAATTAAGTCCTTAATCTTTTTAAGCATTGAAACCTACTCTCAGATCAACCTACTTTTCTTCCTGGTGGGATATCATGCCTTCCCTCCATTTCCCCTGAGGTTTAACTCTGGGTCAGCACTGAATCGAATTTGGATTCACTCCTGTGTTAGTTAATTATAATTTCTTTTCAGAGTCTACTGCTCTGCCCAGGGGATGGGGGGAAGGGTAAGAACATCTGTTGTATTCAGAAACTGATGGGGGAGAAAAACCTGAAAGTCCTCTGAGACATACCAAATGCGAACTGCTTTGGGACAGGTTACTTATTTGTAGGCCAGCAAATGAGAGACAGCAGAGCAGGTAGATGGTAGTGACACTGCATCTCAGAGAAACCAAGTTACAGATCTGGCCTAACTTTTTAAAAAATCCGGGTTTGCCAAGGTATCCTGACAAATGTGTCTGTCTGCTTAGTGTGAAGATTATAATAAATCCAAAGGATTTTTGATGCGTGTTCTTTGACTTGATGAGATTGTTCTACTAGAGTAGCTGGACTGCAGTGGATCCTTTACCCCTACTTTTGTGTTTGCATTTTGGGGGACAGGATAGCACAGCCAGTGTCGTTTCAAAAAGATTTGAGACATTTATTATATCTGTTTGGGTTTTTCCCCCTGTTCTCATTTAGTGGATATTTCATTCCTCCAAAGTCCGTCTGCTCTCGCTAGGTACGGCTACGCTCCAATAAAATGCCTGTGACACAGCCACAGGCCCAGGGCAGTTGACTCAGGTTTGTGTGGCTCAGCTATGAGGCTAAAATTGCAATGTGTACATTCAGGCTGAGGCTGGAGCCCAGTCTCAGACTCTCCTGCCACATGTGGTATCAGAGCCCAGGCTCCGGCCCAAGGCCAAATGTCAACACTGAAGTTTTTAGCCCTGTAGCCCCAGCCCAGTGAGTCCAACCCAGCTGCCGCTAGGGGTGTGAAAGGTTAACCAGTAGTGGGGTCTGGAGTAGCCCCCAGTAGGGGGCCTGCCTCGGATAGGGGCTGTGAGCGAGGAGCCAAGGCACCCCCAGTCCGCGGGCTAGGGGCTGCTCCACCCGGACTAGGGGCTGCTCCACCCGGGCTAGGGGATGCTCCACCCAGGCTGGAGCAGTCCCCAGAGCAGATCCCGCGTTAGTCAGTTAACTGGTTATATGTTAGGATAACCTAACGTTTAAGCAGTTAACTGATTAACCAGGATTTTACAGCCCTAGATGCTGCAGGGCTCTGAGACTCTGCTGCAGATAAATGTGGGTTCTTAATGGTGTAACGGAAATTTGACTCAAGCTAGTGGTCATGAAATACCTTTAACTTTATACCTTTGCTACCTGCACTGCTTCTGGTAAGTGTCATGTCATGCATCAGTAAGCCCTGGTCTACACTTACAATTTAGATTGGTCTAGAGGCATGTGTTTAGGAGAGTTCACACCCCTGAGGGCTGTAGTTAAGCCAGAGTAACCTCCAGTGTAGAGACATATTTAGGTTGACAGAAGAATCCTTTCGTCAGCCTAGCTGCTGCTGCTCCGGGGTGGGGGGGAAGGTCAGTTATCTACCACGAAGGAAAAACCCTCCCATCATTGCGGGAAGCATCTACACTGTGTCGTGCACCCCCTCAGACATCCAGTTAATGGATTAGCTCTTGTTCTGGTGCAGGGAAGAAGTGGGATTGCTTTAACATTGCCTTTAATTGATAGTTACATAAGCAGTGAACCTCCATGTCAGATTAAAGCAGAGTGTCTTCATGCAGGCTCTTTTGTTTACCTTGAGCGGACCCCTTGATGTTACCTTCTTTTAAGGAATGGTAATGGCCCATTCACATGCCCACAATCTCCCCCTGTCCTCCAGCTCCCCAGTTCAGTAGTGGCACAGAATGAGCTCTATTATTTCTATTACCACAGCGCGGAGGCACAATATTCATTCAATGTAAGTAGCTCCCCGTGCTGCCTCACCTCACAGCCATGCTACGCATGCCCAGTGATGGTTCCAATGTCTCTTTCGTTGCAGCAATATCAAAGCCAGTTATTTCAGCAAACGGAAGATGTTGATGGTAAAACAGAAATCATCATCAAGGTAAGATCAAGGCTGCTGTTGCAGCCTTTAAATCCCACCTGGAAATGTCACATGCTTTAAGAGTGCTCTTCAGGTTTGTACCTGCTTTTTTTGTCCTTTCTCAGCTCAAGAGACAGGGCTTATTCTCACAAACACTGTGTGGTTTGTGGTGCAACATAGCACACTAGGCAACTTGCAGTGTGCACTAGCTGGATCAGCATCAGTGTGTGCATCAGCATGTGGATCGGATTTATTTAATCTCTCTCTGAAGTATCTGGTTTTGTCCTCTAGCAGGCGTAAGGATATCAGGCTAGATGAAAGCATGATATGACCTGGCAAATCCTGTGTCCCATTAAAATGGCTTTCCATGCTCACAAGTCTCATTTCACCTCTGGCCGGACAGGCTAACCCGAGTCCCTTCTGAGCTGTATTAGCATAGCAGGTACTGCTGGTGAAGAATAGTGAGCTGCCCCCTCGCTTTGTGATTTGACCATCACCTTTACATCTCTCAGCGCTCCTGGCAGCTTTGAGCTGGGGTTCAGACTGGATCTCTTCATTAAGAGCATTGTCTCTAGATAACTCGACAGGCCTCTCATAATATTTGTGCTGTCTGTGTATTAAAGTGTATTTTTCAGTATCTCGTAGTACTGGGTAAAGTACCAACTGAGTTCGCTAAGCATCAGTGGGGATGAGTTCCCATGAGTGGGAGCTTTAACTCTCTCCTTGTTTTTGTGCATTTATACCTGAACATTAAACACTGAATATAGTTTTGTTGCACTGGCTTTATTTCTAGGTATGCAGATAAGGTGCAAACCGACAGTGTGAATGAGCTGAGTGTTAATAGGAGCTTGGATGTAAAATCAGTTGTGCCTGAAAGAGAGAGGAAGCAGCTGAACTAAATATTGCTTGTTGCCACAGTGTGACAATACATTCACAGCCAAGAACTATATTTCCTGTAGTGACATTACACCACTGCACCGACTTGCTAATGACATGTCAGTAATTTGATGAATTGGAAACTGAATGAGCTATATGAAATGTACCCTGGCTGCCCTGATTAAATGATCTTTCCAACTAAATATACAGCTCTTTTCATTTTTAATTGGATTTTTATTGAGATAGGGATAAAGTAACGGACACCAAAATATTTATGAACCTAGTATTGCAGTTAGAGAATCCATTTGTCCTTTCTGAGAAAAGAGAGGGTGTAGTTACCCCCAGATTCTGCCTCTGTGCTTCCAAAATAGTCCTCCCCCGCCCCCATCTCTCTTTCCTGTTAAGAAATTGCCATTTTTGGTCATATAAGCAATTATGTTTTTTTCAGTCACTAAAGTCTCATTTTGTTTTCATGTGTCTAGATGTTGCTTTGCATTTAGTACACAATGTTCTATGTCTGTAGGACCCCTCCTCCTCTTGTGAAAATCAGGGAAAATTAAATATGGAGTGTGAGCCAGCTATTTGAACATCCATGCACACCTTTCTGTTGCAGTCAGAACCAGTAAACAGTTGGTGTAAAGGAACAAAGCACATTGGTCAAACGAAAGTTTTTGTATGTATCTTGTATGAAAATTGATGAGGCCAGCCGGAGTGCAGAGTATATATGTGTGCGAAGGCTCCAGTAGAGCAATGCATTCTTAAACCTTATCTGAAGCCAATTTAGATGAAGTTCCCTTTTCCAAGCCCTTTTGAGTACCTGGTCCATTTTTCAAAAACGAGGAATCCAATGGCACCTTAAAGACTAGCCCATTTATTTGGGCATCAACTTTTGTAGATAAAACCACTTCATCAGATGCATTGGAGTGAAAATTACAGAGGCAGGGTGGTATATATTAGTATATCAAAAGAAGGGAGTAACTTATCAAGTGTAGGATTGCTGTTAAATATGCCAATGGAGTCACGGTGGATGTGGCTCCCTTTCAGCAGCTGATGGGGAGGTGAGAATACCAACACAGAGAAAATTACCTTTGTAGTGAGAGAACCATTCGAAATCCTAAATTCAGTCCTAATTTGATCTGTTCTTGTAGTCCATTCTTGTTAAACCCTAGGTTTACCTGAAAGAGGCAGAAGAATTCAACTTCTTGTTTGTGGATTGGAGGCTTGTGAGAGGAATCTACTGCAGTGAAGAGTTCTGTATACTATTTTCTAAGGATGTTAAATTGCATTTAATCAGCTAATCGAGTAGTCGATGGAATTTCTATCGACTACTCAATTAGTTGAGAAGGGGAGAAACTGTAGAGCCACAGTAAGGTTAGCTCCTTGCCCTAGAAGCTAACCCTGCTTGCAGCTCTGCCTTTTAAATGTAGTAAGAGCCACCTGGCTCTTACTACATTTAAAAGACAGAGGTGCAGCGGAGGACCAGATGTGAGCTGGGACAGCTGAGTCCTGGCTTGTGCCCTGTGTCCCACTGTACCTCTGTCTCCTCTGCTCCCCCATGGAGACGGTGCTGGGGGGAACCAGCTTTTAAGCCAGCTCCCCCCAGCACTGGCTCCTGCTTCTCCTGATTCCTCCCTCCCATGCCCCCCCTTCTCCCTCCGGGCAGAGAAGCGACTCTTTGAGTAGTGACTCGTCTATCTAATGAGCCTAAGCTTATCGGGTAGTCACCTACTTGACTAGTCGCTTACATCCCTACTATTTACCTCCATTGGTCGACTGTGTCTTCATATACATCAAATCAGCATAAGTAAAACATCTGTCTGATATCTTGCTAGGTTTCCCCAATGTCCCAAGTTCTGCTTCATAGCTTTGAGTCGCTGTTTGCTCTTTAGAAAGGCAGAAGGATGGCATGCTGGGAAATTGATGTGCTGGCTCAGAATTATTTTGCTTTTTGAAGTGACTTAAAATAAAACAGGAGGGAGAATGTATTTCCAGAACTGTTCCCTGAGCTGTTACAAAGCCATTGTGCTGCTTTTCCTGTGCATTGCCATGAGCTTCAACCAAATTGCTATTTGAATGGAAAGCACCTAGCTTTTTGTCATCCACTTTGTCCTTCATTTTTGCAGCAGTCCTGTGTAAACTGTGGTCGGGAAGCAATGAATGAGTGCACTGGATGCCATAAAGTCAATTACTGCTCAACTTTCTGCCAGCGGAAGGTAATGGATTCTTTATAAGACACAGATGCCACTGTCTAAAGGCAATCAGCATATCTGGCGAAACAGGTGCATGGATATACTGAATACCCCCAGATAAGCAAGGTAAAGAGGTCTGGCCAGCATATTAGTATGAGTGAGTTATTTTCTAATCTGAGTCTACAGATTGCAGACCTGATAAATCCCTGGCTGCTGCTCACAGTGTCACTCAGCATTACGCCATGACTGAGAACATAACAGGCTGCCTATAAGAGTGTGGTCTTTCTTCTTCTTAGACTTTTTCCAGCATTTTTAGGTCATTTGTGTTTTTTCTGCTTATCATCCCCAAGGGCCTGTTGCATCTTGTGAGTTTGTCAGTCACATTTTTTTTAAAAGCAAACATGCAACTGGGACGTTTGTCCCCCTGTAGGCAGTCTGCCTGCATGTTCTGGGGCTGAGCTGTGGTGATTTTGAAGTCACCAGCAGAGAGCAGGCCGGGGCAGTCTACCAAGCGGCCCTGCCAGTCAGAGAGAAGCCACAGTAGAAAGGGGGAAAACGAGACCATTTTCAGTGAACAATACAGATCTTCTGTTTATGTGCATCACTTGTCTGTATCACAGAAACTGAACATTGCTTTGAAAAGAGATTAAGCATAGTTAAGTGTGACATCCCTCCTCAGGCAGTCCCTAAAGAACAAGGAAATAAGTTAATTGTCCCCTAATGCGCACACAACACATTTCCCTTGACTCCACGTTGTCATTAGGAACCTCCTTCAAAAACCAGTTGATAAAGGAAAAATACCCACACAGCATGTTAGTCTTCCCTATGGAGTAACACACAAGTTTCATTGCACCATTGTGTGTGCCCCAAGTGAACATGGCAGGCATGACCTGTGCCCATGTGACAATAACACAGTCATTGATGTTGCTGCCACCCTGCTGTTTGGAATATTAGGAACAGGTTTTCTCAGTTTTGCAGCTCACCAGGTCAAAGTAAATGGCCATGGTAAAATGCAAATCGAGGTAAGGCCCAGAACGGGCCCTGACCCTCTCACCAAGTGAGATGGTGGGAGCATGAAGCTGTGGCGACTTGCCTTTTTCTGATTGATCAAATTTGTGTTTATTTTTACCCCAAACAGGGCTTTGTTGCGCCAAGTGTGGGAAGTGTGTCCCACAGTGGCGTGCTAGTGAAGGCCGGTTTCACTCCATCAGGGGTGGTGAACCAAAGGGGAGAAGTCTGAATCTCTGGGAGTTAGCAACATGGGGAGGTAGATTGGAGGTGACTCTGGACTGGAAGAGCTGCCAGGCATAGCGAGGCTGGGGCAAGTCTAGATGAGACCTGAATGTCTGTAGGCTGGCTGCTGGCATCTGGGCTCTGAGTCCTAGCAGCATCACACTGAGGCATTCAAGGTGATGGGGCAGGTGGAGCTAGAACCCTGCCCTGGTCTGAGTGATTCCCAGAATGTCACAGAGGCTCAGATTAAGATTTAATGTAAACCTTCCCTTGGCTCTTCCTGCTTTGGGAACAGCTTTCCAGAATACATTGTTCTACATTGTTACTGAGACCATAGATAGCTTGAGATCTCTGCCTTTGGTGATAACATACATACATGGATTGGGGCAGGGTTTAAGCAAACCAAGGTGTTACTCACAATTTCCCAAGAGGGAAAAATGAATTTGAAAGTTGAGGTGGTACTGTATGACTTTTAAACCAACTTTTGTACTTTTTTTTGTGCTGTATATTCCTTACTTTCTGCTCGCTGGGGCATTCTGTACCTATTTCTTGCCTGAATTTAAAGGGGAACTAAAAATTTTGTTTAGCCAAAGTTATGTTCTTGGAGCGTGTCCTAATTCAGTCCTGTTGGTTGAAGCCAAATGCAGTGAGAATAAATAATCAGTTATTTAATACTAAACAAATTAATGCTCTTCTCGTAACTTGTAAGCCACAGTTTGATGTGAATAGTAATTACTGCTGCAGTTCCATTTAGAATGCAAGTGGTACAATAGTCAGAAAATGAATGAACATTTGCAAAATGCTGTTAAAATCTAAAAAGGACATTTTCCGGAGAGTCCCAGGGCAGCAGTGTCACGCATCATTTTTTTACTAGTCAATGCAAGCGCCTGTTCCAGGCACCTGGCATGCTGCTAATGCTGTACAAATAATTCGGGACATCCAGTTGTTTGTAGCTGCAACCCCAAACTCTGTCTTCTCTAGATGGCCTATATTAGACTAGTTCATTTATGATCTTCATCCTTCCCCTGCTGGTCTGTGGTCCCATCATATCTTTTGAGTTAAGTAGGTCTAGATTTGGTTAGTATTTGAATATGAGACCAGCAGGTGAAAGAGGATATTACTAGAAAGGGATACAGGAAAACCTCGTTATTGGCAGAATTGCTATTCGCCGTTCCGCATATTCGCAGGGGTCTCCTGGCCTGGCCTGCAGGAGGAGTGGCGGAGGCTGGGACCTGTGGGGGAACTCACCATGGCTCCTGGCAGCTGCAGTGAGTTCCCTGCGGGGGGCTGTGGCTCCCAGTATTCATGAATTTTGCCATTCGCGGTGGTGCCAGGAATGCATCCACTGCGAATGGTGACAGTTTCCTGTACTGGCCAAGACCAACTTTCCCCTGTTTGTACTGAAACAGTGTCCCAGCACAGTGCTAGAAACCTGTTGTTTTTCAGATGAAATTTACATCCAAGGTCCTTGCCATTTTATGATCGTTAAAACTCCTGTTGTATTTTTCACCGGGGTGTGGTAGCCCTCTGGTGTCCTAAGTAAACTCCAGTTAGGGGAATTGACCTTCTGCCTTTCATTCCCTTTGATTTCAGTCAGATAGGAAGTTCATTCCTTATGTTCTCTCCTAAATTGGTATGATTTTTCTGTGCACTGTTAAGAAACTGCTGCATTTCACTCCAGTGTCAGGGAAGTGGTTCCTTAATGTGGTTTATAAAGCCTGACAAATGTGTAGCGATTCTTTAAGGAAACAGACATACTATAAAAATAAGTGTTCCCAAGTCGTTATCTGGTGCTGCTGCTATTGGCTTTCACAAGATCATACAGAGTATGTCGACACAGCAAAAAAGATTCACAGAGGTTAGTCTCAGGGTCCAGGTCAGCTGATCTGTGCTTGCAGAGTAGATGCTCTGACTGGAGCCCAGGCTCCGAAGCCCAAGTTAGTTGACCTGTGCACAGAGGGTCACAGCAACAAGCTTGGCACTGAGGTGTGTTTTTTCTCTTTAGATATACCCACCGTCTTCTGACACTGTCTCTCTTCACGTTCTCTCTGCATGCTCCTTTGCAGGATTGGAAAGATCACCAGCACATGTGTGGTCAGTCAGCCACAGTCACGGTGCAAGCGGATGAGGTGCATGTCACAGACAGCGTCATGGAGAAAGTTGCAGTCTGAAAAATCTACGTCGCTGAAGTCCTAGATAAGAAGGGAAGGTGCTTGGCTGGATCAGCAAGCTGGATGGGAGCTCATGTTGTTGGTTATCTAGGATCTGAACTCTTCCCATCAGTGAGCTCGTCTTCCAAAGATGCTTGAGCACCTTTCTGCAGGCCTACTTGAAATCTTAGCAAAGCAGACACTAAGGATACATTATCTGGGAAAGATAACTAGACTTGCTGATCAGGAGGCCACCCCCACTTAAGGAACTTTGGACTATAAAGTAAAACTTGCAAGATTTTGTAATGCACAGCAGAGGGGTTTCAGTGTTAGAGCCATCTCTTCTGAGGGCCGTCTACAGTGGTTGGAATGAAAGTTAAGATGTGCCAGTGTTCCATTCCACCCCATGCTACCCTACCTCTCATGTGAAACAATAAATGTTCCTTCATTTGTTTAATTTAATTTTCTTTAAAAACATATATCATAAAACTGTGTTCTGTCAATAGAAGCCCCTTTTTCTAATTCATTTCTCCCCCAGGGCTAAGTTTTACATATTGGAAATTCTGCACTTGTATATAAACAGAAGATGTCATGTCATTAAACAAAATACAGTGAAATCATGAAAGCGTGTTACTGTAATATTCCTTTTACACCAAGAGTGTTTGCCGGAGCACTGTTAAACAGAAAGCATGGACCTGATTGCTCGGCACAGTCAGGTGAAGCAACACAACACTGTTTTTGAGCTGCCTTTTTGTGATAACCATCTTGCCAAAATTGGATCTACCTGAGCCAAAGTAAGAGTATAAAATGGTTTCTTTCCTGGCATTCGCATATTGATGGTGGAACTTCTCTGCAGCTATTGAAACAAAATGCTGACAGTTGAAGTAAATGCCTACAAAAAGGGCTAATTTAGCTAAATAGGCATAGCAAGGCAAATTAACAGGTAACTTAGGGTATGTCTGCACCTGCACCCTCTTTCGAGAGAGGGATGCAAATGCAGCTGAGTGAAATTGCAAATGAAGCACGGATTTGAATTTCCCGTGCTTCATTTGCATATTCGCATTATGGCGCTATTTTGAAAAAAGAAACGCTGTCTAGATGCGGTTATTTTGAAAGAAAACCCTTCTTCTGAAATAACCCTTATTCCTCCTACAATGAGGTTTATTTCAGAAGAAGGGCTTTCTTTTGAAATAATTGTGTCTAGACAGCGTTTCTTTTTTCGAAATAGCGCCATAATGCGAATATGCAAATGTAGTGTGGGAAATTCAAATCCGTGCTTCATTTCCAATTTCGCTCAGCTGCATTTGCATCCCTCTCTCGAAAGAAGGTGCAAGTGTAGACATACCCTGAGACTTATCAGGCGAGGTATCCTCAAATACACTGAACCTGGGGCTTGCCACTGACCTGTAAGAAAAACTTCCTCCATGCTTTCTTTGACCCAGGCAAGAAATCTACTGACGTGCCTTCCTCATTGTTTCTGTTCACTCAACATGAACTCACCATGGGACTGATATCCTGACTTAAAATTAAGCACAGTCCCAATCAGTAGACTGACAAATGGGCAGAAGTTAAGGGATGGTTCGGTGAAATTCCAGGACCTCTTATGCAGAAGGTCAGACTAGATGATCAGAATGGTCTCTTCTGGCCTTAGAATCAATGAAACCTAATGTTATTGTAATAGTAAACCAGAGTTTGCTTTAAGAAGGGGGAAACTGGTTTGCAATCTCAGGTTAGACTCCTGTACTGCTGGTATCACACATGGTCCCTCTCCAGTAAGATTGCTTCTGCTAATAACAGTCTCTTGTCTGGAGTTCCAGCTGGAACCAAGAAAAACGGGATGGTTTGGAGGATAGTTTTGATAGAACATGAAGCCTTTTCCCCTAGGAGGAGGATTGAAATCTAGCACAGGTTGGTGGCAATAATTATCAGTCACTGTCTGTGTGTAGAGTAATTGATCTTAATTGAGAACATATTAGGGAAAAGAGAAATATTCTGTGTCTTCTCATTGGTAATTTGAGTGTGTTCGAAGTGGCTCAGCTTGTTCCTTTTCCTGACTTAAGTGAAGTACTTGTTTCCCATTCTTCTTGGTTGGGTTAGGAAATGCTAGAAGGCAAAACTTTTTTGAGCTACTTTTGAATTCACCAGAAGCAAAGTTGTGGCTGTAAGTTAATAAAGCTCTTGATCGAGGTATAGCTTGTTCTGCCAGAATAAGGCAAAATGCAACTGCGCATCTCCACAGACTCTCACACCAGAACATAGAGAGGGGCCTTAGATAACAGGTAGATTAGCTTGGAAATAGCACCTCTGAGTGTTAATATTGCAGACTAGACACACCCATTGCTTTTAGACTTGAAATAACTATTTTCATGGCTTTTTTTTGTTTTTTTTTGTTTTTTTGTTATCCTCATATTCATTATCTTGTTAAGAGACTTTATTCACCATCAGAGAGAGAAAGAGAGAGAAATAGTTCCATACTGGTACTGTTGGAGGAACAGAGCAAAAAATGTAAATTTGACGTACTGGTAACTTGTAACTAAAGATCCTGTGGCATTCTCTATTAAGAGCCCTGCTGTTCCCCAGATAGTCCACTCAGAAAATTACTGCTTGATTTGGTTGGTTGGTTAGTTTTTGGCAGCAATTAAAACGTTGCTAAAAATGTCTGATCAAAACATTTGAATCAGTTCTAACGGTAGTCAAAAAACCCAACAGCTTTCAGTAAAAGGACTTGTTTGTTTGCTTGTTTGTTTGAGTTTTGGGGGAGGAAATTGACAAAACAAATTTTCTACAAAATATATTGTCAAAAACTGACCATTGGGATCAGTTAGTTTTTGGCAGCAATTAAAACGTTGCTAAAAATGTCTGATCAAAACATTTGAATCAGTTCTAACGGTAGTCAAAAAACCCAACAGCTTTCAGTAAAAGGACTTGTTTGTTTGCTTGTTTGTTTGAGTTTTGGGGGAGGAAATTGACAAAACAAATTTTCTACAAAATATATTGTCAAAAACTGACCATTGGGATCAGCTCTAATAATTTATATTCTTTACCTAAGTTTCTTCTACAGCTTAATTTGGAAGTGTTGTTTTTCTGCATTTCCTATGCTAAGCTATTGCTACATGAAATGAATCAAAAGGGAGACTCAGGGTTTTAAGTAGGGCAGAAATTATGTCTGGTTTTTTACTGTCTAGTCTTCTAAAATGCTTTGGCATCCTTAATACTTTGTATGTATCTGTATAAAAGCAGCTATTGGGCCTTAGCTTAGCTTTCCTTAACTTAATAAGGCTGTTTTATGAATAAAGGACTATAGCAATAGTGACGCGCTAATAGTTCCCATTTCAAGGCATATAAGTAACATAATAAATTATTGAGCAAAGAGCAGTCTGTGTTAGTAAATCATAAAAGTAGCTTACGTGAGCTGCAGATTGTTGCATTTCAGTTAGTCACCTCAATTCCCATGAATTACTTTTGTAAGTCTTGGCCATAAAATATTGGAAATGTCCTCAACATGGTCCAAGCTGGATAATTCAAAAATAGCTTTTTCCATGTTAGCTTAACTATCGTGTTGTGTAGTTTTTGAGATATTTAAAATAGTGAGTTTCTGAAAATGTGCCTTGTTTTCTTAATGTTAACTCTGTATAAGTGCAGAGCTCATCTCCCTGGCTAGCAATCAGTTCTTGAAAATGGTTTCTCCTTGCATTCCTTATTTCAACTGAAACCTTTTTATAACCTAAGCGTGACAGATGTGCAACAAGGCAAAAATAAAAGTGGTTCTGCTTTGCCCAAACACAAAATATCAGCAGGCTCTCATTCGGGTCTGTTATTATGGTATAAGTCTGGAGTAACTCCATGGACTTCCATTAAGATTATATTCTTGATATATAGTGTTATAACTGAGTGGGCTTTGGTCCCTGTTCATAGCTATGTCAACTCCATGATTGATTTCTAGCTCTTCATTTTTTGGTTGCTTATCTGTTGAGTATTTCAGATGATTTAATAATATCTTGCATGTGTAGAACCTTCCCTGCAAGAATTTCTAAGCTCTCTGAAAATGTGTATTCGACTGAACTGATCAAGGTATTGTCCCTGTTTTATAGATGGGGAAACTGAGGCACAGGCTGTGTGACTTGCCCAACTAACATCATGTATTAGTGGTGAAGCCATAAATAGAATTCAGTGGTGAAATCAGGGCCCTGATAAAATCAGTGGCAAAACTCCCATTGACTCCTGTTTTGTCTCACCCTCAGTCCCCTGCTCTAACTAACGACTTGACCCCACTGTCTCCTTTGTTTATTGGCAAAATATTTTCATATCCCCCAATTCCGGTTCCAGTTTCCTGCCTTTGCCTGCCAGACTTCCCGCAGCTCTGAGTTTCTTATTTGCAAAAGTGTCAGGAAGCACCAGGCCCACATCTTATCTAAGCACAGTGGGAAATACAGCCCGTGAGATGCTAAACATTGTCTGGAACGCTTGTGGCATGGAATGAAGTCCTCCCTGCTGGGATGTTGGGGGGCGGCATAGTTGGATTATCTCAGCCACTAGAAATTATCTGCCCGCAAAGACACCTGCCATTTTGGGGAAGCTGAAAAGGGCACAATAGTGTTGCTCAAATCACAGATAGAAAATCTTACCACCGCCCCCCCCACCACCCCACCCCCGGCATGCAAGTAATGCCTGCTGTACCTCTGCCCAGCCTCAGGCAGTGAGGAGGTTAATTTTGGTAATCAGGGTACCATCCCATGACAAAGCAGGCTAAACTTGCCCCTGGCAGAAGATAATAGAGCAGCATTCAGGCTGGAATTGGCCTACTGTGACTTAGGAAGCAACCGACTGACATGGCCCTTCAGGCCACAGTCCAACTACTTTTGGGCCCTGCCTGGGGAGCCCTGTATTGGAAACGTGGATACATCCTTTAGTTACCAGTGCTAGGGTGAAGTGGGGAAGACTACCCTGGGATTCTCCTGTTGCTGAGGAACGTGGGGCACTAGGGAGCCGGTCGAGGCCGACTCAGAGACACCATGTAGGAGAAGGCAGAAAAATGAGTTGCAGCCTGTTGAGAATGCTAGAGCAGGCTCTGCCCAGTGCCGTGTTCCCCTCTCCCAGTGCAAATGCAGCAGCTGCAACGGAGGCCACCAGCTGATCAGTGTGCCTTGGGGAGTGCAACATGCTGCCCCCAACAAGGTGCCATGCTAGCTGCTGCAGCTGTTTGAAGGGAGCGGAAGGCTTCTCTCTCCCAACCCTATTGCAGTAGGGGAGCCCACTCCCAGGACCACCACCTGCCAGTGCTACTGAGAGGAAGAGGAGCCATCTCCGTGAGGTACAGAGTTGGGGAAAGCCTCTTGGTCAAGGTGAAACAAAATACAGGTCTATGTAGCACTTTAAAGACTAACAAGATGGTTTATTAGATGATGAGCTTTCGTGGGCCAGACCCACTTCCTCAGATCAAATAGTGGAAGAAAATAGTCACAGCCATATATACCAAAGGATACAATTAAAAAAAAATGAACACATATGAAAAGGACAAATCACATTACAGAACAGAGGGGGGATGCAGGGGTGGGGGGGGAAGGAAGGTAAATGCCTGTGAGTTAATGATATTAGAGGTGGGGAAGGGAAGATGTCTGTGAGTTAATGGTATTAGAGGTGATAATTAGGGAAGCTATCTTTGTAATGGGTAAGGTAGTTGGGGTCTTTGTTCATGCCCCCGAGAGTGTCGAATTTTAGCATGAATGCCAGTT